TCAGCCTCCCAAAATGGTAGGATTACAGGCGTGAGCCACTGCGCCTGGCCCTGCCAGCTAGATTTTTAAAGCATGGGCATTGTTTTATTTTCATTGACTTTAGTTTCACTACCCTATTCAAGGCCAAGGGTATTGGTTTTCCAGCTGTTTACATTTTTAAAAACTGGGTTGGTAAGTCCCCATATGTCTGGGAGTGAGCTGTTTTAGGTCTGTCATCCAGCTTAATTAACAGCATCCCATTTCACTCTCGTAAGTGTCCCAGTTTAGGCTGAGTGTGGTGTCGAACCTGTAGTCCCAGCCACTCAAGAGGCTGAGGCAGGAGGATCCCTTGAGCCCAGGAGTTCGAGGCTGCAGTGAGCTATGATTGTGCCACTGCACTCCAGCCTGGGTGACAGAGCAAGACCCTGTTTCTAAACAACAACAACAAAAAATTGTCCCAGTTTGGATCATTGATTACAGGTCACCATCTGTAATGGGAGAGACTTTGAAGATTAGTTCAGAGAGGGAAGGGATCTTTGTGTCCACTAGAATAAATATCCTAAGGATCTGATACAGAGCTTAGCATATAGAAGTTGCTCAATAAATATTGGTTGAATTAATATTACCAAAAAAAAAGTCAGTTTCAAGGAAAACTTGAAGTAAATTCCAGCACAGGAAATATTTAGTATGTAGATATAGTAAAAAAAAATGTGAAGAATTTATTAAAATCCTGTATTAATGTTTACACCATAACGCTGTCCATATGGGACTGGTCCAAACTGCGATATGCACGATCGTGAAATACACCCCAGATTTGGATGACTTAGAACAACCACAACAATGAAAAACCCAAGGTCAAATATCTAAGTAATAATTTTTATATTGATCACATGTTGAAACAGTAATATTTTGGATGTATATGGGTCAATAAAATATATTTCTAAAATTCATTTCACTTGTTCTTTTTCTTTTTTTTTTTTTTTGAGACAGAGTCTCACTCTGTTGCCTGGGCTAGAGTGTCATGGCGTCAGCCTAGCTCACAGCAACCTCAAACTCCTGGGCTTAAGCAATCCTTCTGCCTCAGCCTCCCGAGTAGCTGGGACTACAGGCACGTGCCACCATGCCAGGCTAGTTTTTTCTATATGTTTTCACTGTCCAGCTAATTTCTTTCTATTTTTAGTAGAGACGGTGGGGGGGGGTCTCGCTCTTGCTCAGGCTGGTCTCGAACTCACGACCTCAAGTGATCCTCCCGCCTCGGCCTCCCAGAGTGCTAGGTTTACAGGCGTGAGCCACTGCACCCGGCCCCTGAAATCATAAATGAAGGAAATTGCAGTCAGCTGTTAAGAGGTGGGAGGATTAGCCAGTGTTGTCGTTAAGGGACCCGGGAGTCGTCGACCTCCACCCTGGGAACATGTTTATGTGGACTTTGAAACTGTCCACTTTTTATAACAAACCAAAGGCCAAAGAAGAACGAAATGTTCTGAGGTTGTTTTTATTCCAAGAACTCTGTGAGCTCCGCCTGGACACCGCTGGCACCGGCTCGTGCCAGGGGACCCACATACAACAGCACTGTGAGGGCGGCGCCCGCGGCCCCTGGGAGCCCTGGTCCTCCAGCCAGTCAATGTGACTGAGTCTACCAATGAGGCCAGCCCGGCTGTCCCCGAGTGGTCCCTCTGCATCCCCCACACCTCGGGCGGGCGAGGAGTGGGTCTCAATGTCCTGTGGTCCCACGCTTCCAGGGTCAGTGCATGCCCTGTGGCCCTGTTCTCAGAGGGCAATGCGTGCAGCCCCCCACGAAGAAAGGGGGCCTCTCCAGTCGTGGACTTCCTCTCTGTCCACAAGGCTCCAGATGGCCGCTGCTTGGAGCCCCTGCCCGGGTAGGGAGCGGCCACCTCCTGGGCCAAAGCCAAAGTCACTGTCCTCCATGAGCCTGGGACCAGGCCCCAGCTGGGAGACTAGGAGGCTGCTGCAGCCACTGTGGGCTGGATCAACATGGTGGTCGCCTGCAGCGGGTAGTAGCGACCCCTCCAGGTCTTCCAGAAGATTCCCTTCTTACGCTGCTGCCGCTGCCGCGGGATGGAACGGAAGTACTGGCCATTGAGGTTAGAGTGGCTGCAGGTGCCGAACCACCAGCCACCTGCCGGGGTCAGAGGAGAGGGAACATGGTCAGGTCCAGTGGGGCAAGGAGGAGATGAGGATGGGGCCAGAGCTAGGACAAGACTGGGCTTTGGACTTTACCATTTTAAGTTTTATTTTTTTTAAGTTTTTAAATAGATGGGGTCTCCCTATGTTGCCCTGGCTGGGCTTGCGCTCCAGGACTCAAGTGATCCTCCCACCTCAGCCTCCCAAGTAGCTAGGACCACAGCCTGCTAATTTTTTCTGATTTTGATAGAGACAGGGTCTCACTCTTGCTCAGGGTGGTCTCGAACTCCTGATCTCAAGGGATCCTCCTGCCTTGGCCTCCCAAAGTGCTAGGATTACAGGCATGAGCCACCACACTTGGCCACACCCGGCTGACTTAAAGCATTTTTTGTAGAGACAGGGTCTCGCTCTGTTGCCCAGGCTGGAGTGCAGTGGCGTCATCATAGCTCACTGCAGTCTTCAACTCCTGGGCTCAAGCGATTCTCCCACTTTAGCCTCCCAATTAGCTAGCAGTACAGGTCCACACATGCCTGGCTAATCTGTCTTATTTTCATAGAGATGGGGTCTTGCTATGAGACTGCCCAGGCCAGTCTCAAACTCCTGGCCTCAAGTGATCATCCCGCCTCAGCCTCCCAAAGTGCTGGGATTACAGGTGTGAACCATCATTTTTTGACCCATCAAGAGGGAATTTCGTATGTTTCCCTTCACAGAGCCCGAGCTCTGCCTCTGATTTCACACATCGTCTCATTCAGTTTTCCATAATAATCCTACAGAGTGGCCACTATGGTTATACCCATTTTAAAGATGGGCAAACTGAGGCTGGAGAGGTTAAATCAGTGGTCCAAGGGCACACGGCAAATAAGGAGGAGGTGGGGGCAGGGAATAGATGCTATTTGGGGTTGAAGGCAGGACAGGCAGTGAAGGGAAGGAAGGGAGGCCCTGGCTGGTGGGGCATGGCAGCAGGTGGGACAGAGGCTGCTCACCGGAGAGGCTCTTGGCGCAGTTTTTGTCCCCACGGAGGTCATGGTCCTTGTCCCGAGTGGAGAAGGGCAGGGAGAGGCCACCGGGTGTGACCATGGTGGCGCCCAGCTTGCTGGCCACGGGGGCCGTGAGCTGCAGGCTGTAGGCGGTGTCCTCGCCCCCCAGGTGGACGGGGAACTGCAGCGACTCTGCGTTGCCGTCCCAGTCCTGCAGCTGCACGGCCAGGCGGCTGCCGCGGTCCCCTGTGATGCGGTGCACCTTCTCCAGGCCCAGCCAGAACTCGCCTAGAGCAGGAGAGGCCGCTCAGTGAGGCAGGTCCAGCTCCGCAGCCCCCGTCTCCTCCCCAGCCGCTGGCCCCTCAGGAAACACCCACCTTGGGGGTCCCCGAAGCCGGCCTTGTAGGCTTCCCAGGACCGGTCGAAGTCCACAGAGCCATCTTGGCGCCTCTGAATGACTGTCCAGCCCCCATCTGCCCAGAAAGGTACAAGGTCACCAGGAGGTCCCTCTTCACAGGGGACCCCGATCCCCACATCTGGCTCCCAGACCCCAAACCTAGGGAAGGCAACACCCCCACAGTGTTCCTCGGGCTCACCCTGGGAGGACTGCAGGAAGGTGGGTCCCAGGGAGGAATACCATGGTGGCTGGTAGGCAGGGGGATCAGGACTGGACCTTTGTTCCAAAGACCCAGCGGGGAAGGAGGAGGGAGGGAGGGAGGGTGCAGCGGAAATCGGCAAAGCCTCTCTGGGCCCGTTGAACTTGGTCCTCCCCTGCCGTTGTCAACCACAGAACCCATCCCTGAGCTTGTGATGGAAGTCAAAGGGGAAAAGGGGTGCATTTTACTTCTTGTCTTTTTTGTTTTTAGAGATGGGATCTTGCTCTGTCACCCAGGCTGGAGTGCAGTGGTGTCATCATAGCTCACTGCAGCCTTGAATTCTTGGGCTCAAGTGATCCTCCTGCCTCAGCCTCCCTGGTAGCCAGGACTACAGGCACCTGCCGCTGCGCCCACCAAGGACTGCATTTTAAAGAAAAGCAACGGGGCCCTGGCGGGCCAGCACATCCTACCTGAGGTCATCTTGCAGTTGACCAGGAATGGTGGGGACCCCTCAGGCTGGATTTGAAACAGTCCGCTCTGCCTCTCGCCCTCCTCGAACAGCTCCTGGCAGTCCCGGGGCAGCCCTACAGGTAGACAAAGCAGGGGATTGAAACAGAGGAGCAGGCAGCCTGTAGGAGGGTCTCTCGGGAGATGCGCTGGGGGGTTGGGCAGCTGGTGACAGGGAGGTGAAGGGCAATCCTGATCTCATGACCACCCCCTGACATCTGCCTAAGCTCCTCCATGGCTCCCTATGGCCTTCCCCAGCATGGTCTACAAGGACCAGCCCCTGTGCCCATCCTCCCTTCTCCCACACTGCACCCCACCCTCTCCGGCCAGATGGGCGACCTTCCCACCCTGGCACCACACACCCTCCTGCCACAGGGACTTTGCACATGCTGGTCTCTGTGCTTGGGACTGTATTCTCTGGGTCTCAGCTTCTGGAAGGACACCTTCCCTCACCCTTGGACCACACCACCCCTCCCCATACGGGCATAGAGGACTACTCCCCAACCCCCAACACCGCAGTCATCTGGAGGGCTCTCCCCTCCTCCACACACAGCCCCCCCAGCCCCGCCACTGGACGGGGTGGGGGATGCTCCATGGGGCCGGTGACAAGGAGCGGCTCTGCCCAGTCCGGCCCCGGACGAATGAAAGATTGGCAGAACAGGGCCAGAGCGGGGGTGGCCGGAGCTGAGCTCAACAGGAGGGGCTCTGGTCTGCCTGGTGGGGACACAGAGGCTCTGCGCGGGGTCCCAGCCACCAGAGGGAGAGAGAGGGCGGGAGGGAGGAGGGAAGGACGGCGCTGGCTGGGCAGTCCTTGCAAGGAACTGCCCCCAGCCCAGCCAGAAAAGTAGGGGAAAGGTCGAGTGAGTGAGTTGCACAGCGGTGGCGGTGGCGGTGGCGGCGGGGGTGGGGGCAGGCCCAGAGTGATGAGGACACGTTCTCAGCCCCTCAGGCAGCTCCCCTTTCCCCTACTTCTTCCTCCCCTCCAATCAAGACAGGCACTGGGCCAAACCACCAGTGTGGCTTCCATTAGTGCCAGCTGTTTGTCTCCCCAGCTCTGACCTTTTGCCTACTTGGCAGGGCTGAGCCCAGAGTCTGGGAGTCCCAAACCCACAGGACACGCCCCCACGTCCAGCGCATCTCCCAGCTGGGACCAGTGCCTGCTAGCCTTGGAAGCCCCTCATACCCCCACGTCCGGTGGAGGTCTGGGGGGGTGTACTGGCCCCTCACCACCCAGAGATACCAGCTTTAGGCTGGGGAGAGAGGAGAAGGAATGTGGGGTGGGGACAGCCCTCAGGACTGCGGCGCTGGACGCCAGCCACTGACCCTGGGGCGCGAGGGGGGATCCGAACTCTCACCCAGTTGGCTATGGACAGCCGCAGATGCCGGGGAGGACAACAGGGAAGCTGGGTGTGGGGCTGTGAACTTAATCCTGGGAACTGAAAGTCTGTGTCAGACGCATACAGACATGCTGAGGTTTGAGGTTAGGGTGGCTTTGAGACTACAGGAGTGAAAACTCAAAAACTCCTCTGCAGGGGTTGGCGGGGAGGAGGAGGAGGACGGGAGAAGGGGAAGGAGAGGGCTCTGCGACCAGCAGCCCTGGATTTGTAAGATGCAAGGGTGAGTGTTCCTGGCCCGGGGGCTGGGTGGGCCCCTGCCCTTGTTCCCCCTGCTGGATTCACACTCCAAGAGACTGCAGGGAGCCCGGATCTCAGAACCCCCCTACCCGGCAGCCTCTTATCCATCGCACCCTTCTAGAAGGTTCTAGCCTTCAGGACTGTGTCCCAAGCTACACCACAGCCTGCTAGGCACCCCTGCAGCTCAAGTCCCCCTGCTCCAGTGACTGGCCAGCAGGGCTTGGGGACAGTCCACCGGCTGGCTGGCTGGGAAGAAGGGTGGGGTGACCTGGTGGGGCAGAGTCAGGGCTGAGTAGGGAGGTGCCTCCATCAGCCCTTCACCAGAGACTGGGGAGCCCACAGGGACCCAAGGCCCCAGCCTCTCTCTTTCTCCTTAAGGTGGACCTGACAAGGAACAGGACAGCAGTGCAAGGGGCAGGGTCCTGATGACAGCGAAGGGCCAGACACTCACTGTGCAGGCGGCTGGCGTTGAAGGCTGGGCCAACGAGCTGGGCCATCTTGGGCAGCCTCTTTTTTCGCGCAGGCTTGGCCATCCCATTGCTCAGGTGGGTCGGGGCCAGGAGGCCAATCTGGGATGGGACGGGAGAGGGTGGGCATCAGGTACAGCTGGCTCAAGCGGCCTGACCAGCCGGGCTCCACATCGGAACCCACAGGTCCAGCTCTGACGACCTTCCTCCCCGCCTGGGACAGGCCTGGGGTACCTGGCTCTGCAGATTCTGGATTCGTAGCTGCTGCTTCTCCAGGTGCCGCTGTTGCTGGGCCACCTTCTGGAACAGCTGCTCAATCCTGCTGTTCTGGGCCTTGAGCTGTGTCTGGGGAGGAGTGAAAACCTTGGTGAGGACCCAGCCTTCTGCCTCCAACTTCTCCATTCATCCACCCGGCCGTCCTTCCAAACCTCCATCCTTTGAGGCCAGGGCAGGGGAGCGCAAGGAGTTTCGGAGGTGCCCCTTCTCCTGTCCACACCCTACCAGGCCAGTAGGAGAGCCCGCAGGGGCGCACGTACCTGCAGGCTGCGGAGGGCTTCGGGGGCCGCCTCACGTCCGGCGACCGGGCTCTCGGGGACTTGAGGGGGCGCGGCGGATGCCCCGGGGCTCTGGCAGGCTGCCCCGCACGCGCTCAGGCGCTGCTCCAGCGCGCCTAGGTGGCCGCGGGTGCGCTCCACGTGTTCGCGCAGCCCGTGGCCGAGCTGCAGCAGCCCGTGCGCCAGCACATTCATCTCGTCCCAGGACGCGAAGCGCGGCGGCTCGGGCGGCGCGGGGTGGCCCTGAGCGCTCAGCAGCCCGGCGGTGGCAGCGCAGAGCACCAGGGCTGCGCCAGCCGTCGGCGCGCAGCGCATCCTCTCAGGCAGCCTGGGCGCAGGGACGCTGAGACTCCGGGACTTGGGGGCGCGAGGTCTGGATATGCGACCGCTGGAGATGCGGGGGACCTGGTGGAGACTCGCTCAGTCGGGTGCAGAAGCCCCTGGAAAGAAGCCGCAGGCCCGCTCAGCTCAGCTTGCTCCTGGTGGCGCCCAGCGCCCCGTTTTATAAGCAGGGTGCGGGAGTGGGAGGCGGGGCGCGGGGAGTGCCAGGGGCGGGGCGTGTGGCCGGGGGTGGGGTCCTGGGCGCTGGAGTTCTGGGGGATGGGGGGCGCCCTGGGGGTGCAAGTCTGACTTCCCCGCCCCCGGCGCTGGGCTCTGGCCGGCCTTTCCCTGCCATCCAAGGGAGAAGTGACTCTCCCCCCGCCACGAGCCCCCTCTGGGGTCCGGAATTCCAAGTCCTCCCCTCCCGCCCCTGCGGTGTTGAACGGGGGCGGCGGGGAGGGGTGCGGGGGAAGGGCCCTGGCCTTAGCTGGAACTGGACGACGTTCCTGATACCCCTCCCCACGCAGAGAGGGCAGTGGGAGTAGCTAACGAGAAAGATCTCTTCCTGGTGCTTTCCGCGCGGGAAGCTCGGGACGCCGCACACATTCCCGCCTTCCGCGGAGGCTTCATGTGGTCGCTATCCATCCCCAAGACCAGAAGGGACATCTCCGGGTTCCCACGCTCCTTCTTGCGCAAGGGTTCACCATTGTGGATGTGTTGGTGACATTCTTTGATGTCCTTATCCTTCCCTGTCCCCCAAATTGTGAGCGCGCCCTAGTAGCAGGGCCCGGGCCTGTCTTGCCCAGTCTCCAGCTGCGGGTCTCAGCCCTCATTGCCCAGCCTCCGCCTCCAGGGTCTTCAGGGTGGCAGTCTTTGCCTATATTAAAGCAGGACTCTAGGGGACAGAAAGAGGGGACGTGAAGAAGGCCTCCCTCATTCACTCCTTCAACAAAGAGACCTGCTGCCTTCTCAGCCCAGACCCCGCGTGAGGTTCCCAGCCTGGGGTAGCGGCAGGGTTGGAACATAAGAAGAACGGAGTGAGACTGTGGGGCTGGACAGTGTTCATGTCTCAAGGTTAAGCATTCATTCAACAAACTTACCCCCATCTGCCCCATTCATTCCCCTCTACCGTGTCCTGGCACAGAAAACCCGCCTGCCAGGAAGCACACCGGGGCGGTTTGGCTCAGAGCACCGGGCAAAAGGAACCAGTTGACTCAGCAGGGCTCGCAGCCAGGACTCAGCCTCTGGAATCTAGGAAACTGCACGGCCCAGGGCTGACGTGCAGGACACCACTCACACACTCGGATCTGCCCACTGGGCCAGGTCCCAGGATGGCTGATCCTGGCAGCAGTGACAGACAGACAGGCATGGCAGGGAGGAAAACCCCGGCAACCGCAAGGAGTAGGTTCAGATGGTCACCATCTGGCCTATCCACTGCCCGGCCCCCAGCCTCTCTGTCAGCGGGGGACATAGTTGTCCCCTGCAATCCTGGAATGCCATCTCTTCCTCTTCCTGCGCTGAGAAAAATGACGAATGCCTTCCCCACCCGATGGCCTTCCATGAGCCACTTTTCAGGGATTTCTTCTTAGAGAAAGTTGCTACGAGCAACCTACAAAGTAAAATGGCATTAGCAAGTTGACCAGTGAGCTGGAATCTCTCGGGAGAAAAGGAAGTTATTTTAACTTCCGAATGCGTACTTGATCGTGAACCACACGGGGATGTCAACTGTATATTTGAAATTTTTCTCAGTGAAATCTTGGATGTGAGAGATAGGAAGGAAGTGACTGCTTAGTGGGTACAGGGTTTCTCTTTGGGGTAATGAAATAACTATGGAACTAGAAAGTGGTGTTGATTGCACAATATCGTGAATGTACTTAATGCCGCTGAATTGTATACTTTAAAATAGCCTTAGTTGGGCATGGTGGCGGGCTTGTGCCTATAGTCCCAGCTACTGGGGAGGCTGAGGCAGGAGGATCACGTAAGCCCAGGAGTTC